ACTCGTCGCGGCGCTCCTGCGTCCCTTGCAATTGCGACTTTTTTGCACGCTCCGCCGCGAGGTCTGCGACCCTCGAGAGCAACAGACTGCCGCAGTTCCAGACATGCATCTTTATACGAATGATGCGACGCGACTCCACTGAAAGTGTCGATTGATCGGCAGCGTAGATTGTTTGTGTTTTCCGAGAGACATGAGATATGCGAATATGATACAGAGACCAGAAGTTAGTCAGTAGAAAAGTACGATTGAATTAGATGCATTGAATTAGAAGCAGTTTTAACTCTTACTTATCTCTCTTCAGTTGAATTTTTTATTCAGCTAAATCACAGAGAAGCCCCTATCAATTTAATACTCCCAAAAAACACGTGATATGATTGCATCCTAATAAATGTTTCCTCGTTCTTAACCCGCTATCGTTTCTCACAACGATCGGCAAGAACTTATGCTAATGTTACGTGGCAAAACTGGTAATTGCGGCTGGAAAATGCAAATTATACTCGCGGCGTTATTGCACCTCGGTATCGGCAATTACGTGCTCATTGGAATTTATATCGCACCGATTTTTGTTCTCAAACGAGAGTATCGTTAAAAAAAATTAGGCTCATCTTTAATAAAAGATATCCGATATTTCTGTAAAACAAGATTTGTCTGTTTTATTAATTTTGCCGTTACGTTGGAGATATTTTCGGGATTTTGCAAAGTTCGACTCGGAACATATCGATTTATACTATTTTTATTTTTAATTGCAAAATCTAAAATCTTCAATGAAAATTGATAAGCCAAGATTCGTACAGCCAGACTAGTTTTTTCAGTTTCAGTTTTCTGCATTTATTTAAATTTACGAATTAAAATTCACGAAATCATGCGGCCAACTTTCGCTTTAACCGACCAACCCATGTAATTTCTCACGATCGTTTCACATCTTAATTTTTACGAGGAGGAAATTAGTATGGGCTGTGGCGACTTAAAGACTTTAAACGTCTTCGAAGCAATGGTCGATGGCAATTGACCACAACCCCTCGTCGCGTCGTCGTTCTCTCAGAACGTTATACGTGGCTATTGTTGCTTGACGGGTACGGGAGGTAACTAAAAGACGAGACTAATTGTCGACCGTAAAATGACGGTTGCACATCATTGCGTACGGAATTGATGAGCGAATAAAATTGTTGAGAATTTTTTCTTTAATCAACCGATAATAATTGCAACAGAAAATCTGTTTCTCCGAAGTAATTACATTAATCATTAATCTTATTGATATATGCTTTTATATCATTTTATTGTCGAAATAATTCAATATATATAAACAGATATGTTCAAGAATATCTACTACGTTCAAAGTGGAAAACTAACTATTAAACTACTTTGGAGTATTATCAAACGCGTTCGTATAAAGTTATATCTCTGCCCGATAAGATATAATCAAGAATTGATTTTTCTTCGTTCTGCTTCGTCCACAAATCTTTCTAGAATACAATCGTCCGCTGTCTTCCATTAGACACATGTCTCTTTTTTACGTGTCAAATATCTCTCGCACACAGATAAGAAACGATTAATATCCCACGGTGTGCTGCACTTGCTGTCGTTCGCTCTGCGGCCGATATAAATGGGACGCATTTATCACCCGGATTAATTGATTCATTAAGTTCAGTAGCAGAGGATTTGTATTCCATGCGGGGGTCATTGAAACGTTGATGCGTGGGATGAAGATCCGTAGTCGCGTGATTCCTATAATCGTCGTAAGACCGCCGATAATCGATAGAAACATGGTATTACGGAACGAATTCGTGTGGACCGTGAATTAGTCTCTTGTAACAACTTAATGCGGGAATAATGAGTGTGCGATATTAACATACTCACAAATCACCAGGTTCTAGAGAAAGTCAGAGGAATGGGGAAATCTTCTGCTCGCAATTAATCGAAAAGAGAGATCAAGGGTCAATATTCTCCCGTGCGCCGGAGTCTCTTATTCACTTTCGATTTTCTTTTGCATTCCAATGCGGTTCCGTACGGGTGTTCGAAGCGCAATTAATTAAGCGCGACTCACACCGATCGCGCGATACGTATAGCGATACGTATATAAAAAAAAGACATTGGTCACCGATACGTATTTTATGCGAGGTGTAGTACATTGACTTTAAGGGACGCTTTATACTCCGCGATGTTTTATCGTTCTTATCGCGCGGTAGTCAGGCGCGTGGGTTTTCATCGGAAGACATTCGGCCATTTCGTTAATTTTTAATGAAAACGTCATAAACCGTTAATTGCCTGCCTCCACCCCTTCTTCGATTCGTTCGACTTGGCAATCTCGAGGTGACTTATGGTACACTCAATACGCGCGCGGTTATGACATTATGTATTCATTACGCAGAGATAATAATACACCAATGGTGGGCTTCGAGCCGGCCAACTCTGCGACGAAAGCTTCGGCGAGTAATTAATCCGGCTTGGCTGGCGTCGCGGGCGTATAATGAGGGAGGAGCGGATTCGTTGTATTTGCTTTTAATTGCATATTTATGACCCGAATGCCTTACGGTCACTGTACCGCGAAATAGCGCTTGCGTATATGCGTTTTAAAATTAAATTCGCGGAAAAGTGATAAATTTGTTACACAATGTGAGGTGTAATCATCCAAAGATGATCGAACTTGTTAAACGGCATTTATGTTTCGGCGGCGTTTCTAATTGAAAAGGTGATGATTACTGATAATTACGCTTGCGTTTCACAAGGTATAAAGGTATACTTGAAAATCAATCGGTTTGCGTGCATCGCGAAATTTCTGCAACCCGGTGCAACCTGGAATTGGGTTAGGTCAAGCCGGCCGCGAAAATAATGGTGTGCATGCGGCGAGGTGAAAACCGATCGTGGGGGTCCTCCATAATCGCGCGCGATGAAACGGCGCTGCGCAAAGTATCGGGTTGCGAGACAAGCAGCGTGTTTAAATTCAACCTGTAAACGCGATCAGTTGCATAATCACGACTACCGTGGTTCGCCAAATGAAGGTCTAAAGCTGAGAATATCCTCGTCGGCGGTGAAAAAAAAATTACGGAGAAATTCTGTTCTGCCAAATCATATTAATTCCCAATGGAAATCCGATCCCACGTAAGTAAAGACGATTCTCGCTACAAATCTCATTTGTTCATCACGAGATCGTTCATCCATCATCGGCGCAAGATCGTGCGATTGTGAGCGAACATTAAGCTTGGTGTATCGACGCTGATAATCACATACAGCATCACGACTGGAGACCTAATAATTTTCCAAGATATCGTTGCCGTGCATATAAACGCGCGCGTATAAGTATAGCTGTCCCGTTAAACTGACGGCGATGGACCACCAACCACGATGGCGCGTGTCATCCGTCAAATTACGATTGACTTAAGCGGCGTTCTTAAGCTGACGGCGCTCGAAAGTCGACGTATATTGACAACCCACGACCAGACACGCTACATTCGTATTCATTCGTTTCTTCGCGGTCTTAATTATACCGTGACAGCACGTAGTACCTATAAGAAATGTCGAAGGGGAAGAAACATGTCGCAATTCCCGCGTTATTATTAAGACGAGGTTTGCTTTTTTAGAAGTGATGTAAATACTTTATAAGTTATAGTTTTAATATTTTACCGCTTTTATATGCGTAACGTTGCCGGCAGGAATCTTGAAAAAAATCTCGCTGTGATACGCAAATTATCATTGTTGTATATATATATATATATATATATATATATATAAATTATAGTTTTAACATTTTTATAAGTGATATAGACATTTTATTTATATATAGATAAGTTATGGTTTTAATATTTCATTGCTTTTAAGGTTATGTATGTAACGTTGCCGGAGCACAGAGCTTTAAAAAAATCTCGCCGTACGCGGTGTTACACGCGAATTATTATCTATCGTTATCGAGCGTCGAATTCGCGATCGTTTATTACGTCGCGGTTTACAGTTCAACTACGGTGTCTGATTGCGTATGGAGTAGCCAGATAAAGGCAAAAATAATTCAATTAGTCAACATACGTCGGGTCACCCTGTAATGCCACTTGTTTTCCGTGACACTAATGCGTCCACTTAAAACCGGACCAATTACCACGATTATTTCTATGTAAAAGAACCATTTCGCGCAGGCATCCAATTCCAGACCAGCTATAACGCGTCTGCAGCCGCGTGCATAGTGGAGAAAGAAAAAAGTAAACGGTCGTTGTCGTTTATCGCGATGGAGCGTTTCGCGGGTTTCGCGCTTATAAAAGCTGCAGTGTATAAAATATTGCCATGACCAAAGCTGAGAGGTAATTTACACGGATTTGCACGGTTCGATATCTCGGTAACGATCCGTAAATCGTGTCCCGTATATTGTTGGCTCTTTTCTCGGTAGACATATCCCGATAATAAATTGTCCGCAATTCAGTTTACACGATTAATGGTACTTTCTCCCGCCGGATAACGTCTTCCTCCTTACGTCGATGCATCCATCTCGTTGCCCCGGCGAGGCACCGACGCGCCTCTTTCTACCGGCGATTTATCCGGCATCGGCGGGAGCCCACATTTACGAGATCGTTTATCGTTCAATCGATTCGGTCCGCGCAGCTAACGGCTGCGCCGTTAATTCGCTTAATATGTTATCTTGGCAAATTATGCGTCGCGGTAGTTAATAATTATTGCGGCCTTGCATACCTGATACCTCCAACGCGTCTCGCAAAATTCCCCCGCATTGAGCGTGAAAGATATACGCTGGAAATTTGTCATGCATCGACGAACAAGCTATGTATCAGCTCTTTGATGATATTTTCGTAAGAATTAGTTTTGATTATTTTTTTTTCCTAATTAAAAACTGATGATTTTTTATGAACTATTTTTATTACTTATATAACTATTCGCGAGTTAAATTTATTTACATTTTATTTTGTCGAATCTAGATACGAAAATGAACATATTACAGCGAGAAAAAAGAAAAGCTGAAAAAAATGAATATTTTCATAAAAGAAATTACGTAACGGACTTACGTAGAAGGAAAGCTCGACGCGGTGAGAGTGCTTCGGCACACAAGTGAGCGCTTCCGATCTGCAGCATCCGGTGTCGTCCGAGCACCTGTGCAATATGGCGCAGTGTGGAATGTAGGTGGTCGATGGGCTCGGATAAACGTCACGAACCGGAATGACTCTCGCGCGTGGCCATTGGCAGCTGCCTTCCTTGTTGACTTTAATTGCGTGCTGAAGAGCCTCTCGAATTTCAGCACCTAGGGCAAACATTCGCCGGTAAAGTACAATATCCCGTGGGATCGTGGTAATCATGAGAATGACAGGCGTAACTAACCCGCTTTCGCAAATCCAATAAAAAAAATGAGGTTTACGCTATAATCCTCATTCCCGGCGCGTAACAATTGTGTTTATCTCTTAGAAAGCCGGTAGCTACACCTACTCGCGCGGCAGTGATATTTGATTTGCGACATGTTTCCTCACGATTCTTTCGATCTTGCGACTTTCCGGGTCGTAAATCTTCGAATTTTGAAACCTTCAAACCTTTCCATTCTCATGACTTTAAGTTATTAACTTTCGTAAAAAGACTTAGAGATTGCGTTGAAGCGGCATTCTCTATGTTGTAACGAGCCACAAGTAATAATGTCTCTCTCCATATAACTCATTAATTACTGTCTCGATAAAACGGAAGGCGTGAGCGGATAAGTCATAGATTAGAGAAAAGCTCGTCTTATCGAAACGGATTTTCCGTTAAACGGATCTTCCTTACAATCAGATTGACGAATCCGTTGCGCTCGCTCTCCGATAATATGTAAGTACATGGAGAAGAGAAGCGAGAATTCGTGATCGAGATCAAGATGTCAGACGGCCAGTTCGATCCGCGAGCGCGGAGATGCATCTCCTGCATCAAGTGACATAAGTTATGAGAGCTTTCTATTGATTCAGCACAGAGATAGCTAATCGCTTTCTACGCGCGTTTCACGTGCTGTCGATAATTACGGCGACACCGACACTCCGCATAATTCGCTTGAGCGCTCCACGGAGAAACTACATTGTGGCAGGAAATCGGTAAATTCTAGCGCAAATAATAAAAGCGGAGAAATGTCAATAGTACGGAAAGAAATTCAGAGACCATATGTTGTCGCCACTTAAGGAAGCGAATGGCGATTCGCGCCGCTCTCCACATTCGCGAGATCGCAGGTCACGAGATCGATCGCTAAGTGATCGCCGGGGAAAGAAAGTAGTTAGTGTCCACTCCGTTGCGTTTAACGTCGTCCGTGTTTGCAATTATTTTATTTCTAAGATTATTGCGGAATTAAGAAGCGGGATGACGAAGTGCGAGGTATATTTAGATAGAGCGAGATATAGTAACTCTGAATTACTGGACCGTCTGCGACGAAACGATTGTGCGTTGTGCGCGAACGACGGTGTTAATCGGATCAAGTTCGCCGGTCGGTCGCATGTTTTACGACTACCGCGGACGAGCCGAGGCGCCATGTCGTTGCTAATAAAAAATTATTGCGAATACCGACTGTTTATGCTCGGCGCCGACTTATTCCCCCATTAAAATGTCGGATGGCGGATTAATTTGTCGGTCGTTGCGGAATTGACCACGTGGAAGGTTGCGATATTGATACGCCAGCTCGCAATCACTTTGGAAAACTACAAAATCGTCGACGTTTCATAGCAGACAATGGAGAAAATACAAAAGAAAAAGATATGAATTGTTTTAGCAATAAGGAGATACCGATTCAGATCTTACATATATTATTAGAAAGATATTTTTTTAGAGGAAATATACAAGCTAAATGATAGATTTGCTGGCTTGAACTACTTTCTCGAAACGACGGCGACGTTCGTTTCGCGGCGCGCATGAGAAACCAGGCTTAGATATGATTTCGGTGGAGATTTCGGAAGTGTACTTTCGCGGAATTTTTCCCCTGCCTAATCTCGAGGGGCGATCGCGATATGCTAATTTCCGTCTGGAGGCGTTACTCTCGGCACGAGATCACATCGGCAGTGCTCACAATGGAGGCACGGCCATCAGGAATTCTGAAGTATGTGCTCTCACCTCGCGTACATCCCATATTCAAACGTATTCCGGAATGTATTATGAGAGAAAGGGATTAGCTTCGATCGTCTATTATTCTCTAATTTCTCGAGTTAAGCCGGGGAACGTCGCGTCGCGTCGCGATGATACACAATACCATGCATATTTATTATTGACGCAGGTAGAAAACTGCGGGATTCAAGCTTATCGATGATTTACTCTTCCTTTCTGTGGCCGACTCAGCTAGTTTTGTACGTTAAATTTATACTCTGACTCAACATGAAAGTATTTGATCAACTGGTGCCACGAAAGGCACAGTAGCATGTTTAACGAGTATATATCATGTCGTAAATATGCAGGATTATGCGAGTTAGCGGAATGTGATGTCATCAATGTGATATCATGACGCTACGCTTTCCACGAAAGCTTTACGCATTCCATGCATTTATTTTAACGCTCACATATGTACATTGTTCATAATTAATAATTCTTTATAATTAAAATTGTAAAATAATTAATAGCTTAACAAAATATGTGCCTCGACCGTTATTAACAACATAGTGACAGTTTACACCATTTATATCGCTACTTTTACTTACCATTTTTGCGTGCTTCTGTAATTTTTAATTGCCGTTTTATTTGGAACTATACTGAAAATAGTCTGAATACGGACCGCGAAACGTGAACTTTAATTCATATTAAATACATTGACATGAACACCTAATTGTGGCTCTAAGCTTTAATTTTATTTTATTAATAGCTTAATATTAAAAATGAAAGAAATTTTATTTAGTATATTATAAAATTCCACAGATATCCGGATGGAAGACGGGAGAAGGTAACATCGTGCAGAAGAGATAAAGGATTTTGTCGAGCAAGTGGAGGCGGGATCGCTGTTGTTCGGTGAGTGATAATAAATCGATTTCAATCTACGGGGGCTAATGTAGCAAGGCCCGACAATCCCGCGGCACGCACGCGCGCGCATTGATGCGTTACACGCGCGACGCGACGCGGGAGTTCACGCGGCTGCAAATTGCCGCAACCGCTACGGGCACGCGGTCGGGACACAATCGTCGTTATTAATTTACATATTAATAACCTGCGAACTCCATCGCACGTTTCTCGTAGAAATCCGTTCTCCACGACCGAGCGTTGTTGAGCGTCGGGATTCGATTCGAAAGGCGATCGCGAAGGAAGAGGCGATCGCGCAATCGGATGTAATTAACGGCAAAAAGCAGTCGATAAATAAGGACTTGAGGAGACTGTATAGCCTCGCGATGTAATAGATTTATGAAGCGCGCGTAATGATAAGAAAACAGAATTAGAAGAAAAAAAAGAATTAGCATAGAAAATATATAGGAAATATTACAGCAGTGTACATTTGTCTTATTTTCTTCGACGTATGAAAATATTTATAGTGGCTGTTTTTATGATACATGTCGTCCGCTCGTTAATAAGAGAAGCCGATGAGAAGGAAGAGTCATCATATCCATCGGCTCTCTCTTTCTCTTGTCCTCTCGGATGTAGATGTGAATGGCACTTGTGCAATCGCATCGATGGAGAAGGTGCAATGCCTCGGGGCACAAATAGAGGCGTGCGCCTGGGAGTCGTACCGCAATCGTAATATAGCACGGGGCGAATTTATCTATTGCGTGTTGCGACGGGTAATTATAAAAACCATCGTTACACCAACTGGACGCTCGGCTGCGCGATATATTACGTTCCTATTACAATGTAACATTGCCAATCTTGAAATATACGCGCTGATACGTGCTCCCCTTCGCGAGTCGCGGATATACATATTGTCCCGATCACGATCGCGGTTACCAATTGATTTATGCCCGCCGCTTCGGTTTCATAATTGCGGCAGATCGCTGTTACATCGTGTATACGCCTGATTGCCGCGAACACGAACGTCCGCGTGCACATCCGTCCGCGATCCCGGTGGTAGCGCATTAGGTAGGTGGATAAGCGCGCTGCGGTTTTGCACAAACATTTGCGTATGACGCACGCACGCGCGATGAAAGGTACATCGATAATTACCGCGGCATCTCCGACGTTACGAGAAATATTACTGTGTTATTAACGTTGATCGAACACCGCCACCAGGAAGGGACCACCCAGCGTGGTTTCAATAACGATTAATAACTATTTCGGGATGCGCGCGCGCGCATCTCCGACGGGCTAAAATTAAATTGAGTCAGGTCAGCGGGCGAAAATGCAGAACGACGTTACGCGCGCGCATTTGCATAAACCGATTACGAGGAATCGCGATCGCGATCGCTTACAAACTGCTCTTTTAATACGCTTCACCGCCCGCACACATTTTTTTCGATAATAAAGATGTCGTAGGAAGAAAAACTTCGTGAGAGTCGTCGAGACGCACTCGACGGTATGAAGTGTACTCACTTTTTCCGTTTTTGTTAAACTGTTGGATGTTACTCCTGGTCTCTTTGACGCCCTCGCGAGTGCCGAGCGACTGCCACTTGTGCACGCTGTGAGCAGACATCGGCGGATAATCGTTTTTCGCTTGATATCCGTTGTACTGAGCCGCGGTACCGCTGTCGTAGGCCCTCGGGTCCTTGTAATCGTAGTGCTGGTTGTTGAGTGACGTCTTCGGCCTCATCGTCGTCGTGGTCGTCGTAGTTGTGGTAGTAGTCGACGACGTGGTGAAGGTATCGACCTCGTCCTCCTCGCCATTGTCGTCATCGGTGTAATCCTGCGCACGTAATAATACATCGTGATTTAGAGAAACTTAAGTAGTATAAATTAATAATATTACATATAAATATATCATAATTATAGACATATAAGAAGCAAATTATAGATGAATATAATAAAGATATAGACAGAATACTTAATCGACGGTTGAAGGAATTCTTAGAAACGTAGAAAGCAAGTAACGTTAAACTTTGCATGTTCTTTTAGCCTTATTTTTTAAATTTATTTTTATTTTCTAAGTAACAAAATCGCTCTTCTCTTTTATGTTTTATACCCTGGTCAGTATAGGAGTGTAAATTTTTTTTTTTTTTTTTTATAAAATGCTAACAAAATTTTGAAGAACAACAATAATATTTTTAATAAAAATGCCGCCATTTTGTCTAGAATGGAAATATTGGTTTGGTTCTAGTTCAGACGATAGCTATACACTTCTTCTGAATAAGAACATTTATTTTCGCGTTTTACATACCTAGAACAGCTAGAATCATTTACACTGTCCACATGCGTTTTTTCTTGCAAGTTTTTATACTGACTAGAATATAACATAAGAAAGGAGAGCGTTTTTGTTGCTTAGAAAATAAAAATATATATTCTTAAAATAAGGCTAAAAAAACATGCAAAGTTTAGTGTTATTCTTTTTTTTTTGTTTTCATATAAAAAATTCCTGAAAAATACCTTTTTTATGACCTTTCAATCAAACCAGAACATCGCCTTAACACATGGGTTTCAATTTTTTCCATTATTTCTTGTCGTTTACGGCGGATTGAAAGAGAAAGCGAGACGTCGTGAGATTGATATAAATCTAACGAGAAAAAATTTTTTTTTTTTTTATGTGGAGTAAGATGGAGGCATCGACAATATATAAAAATTCACCCGCGAAATGATCTCCCTTTTGCTTACGGGTAGTCAACACGCCTTCGTGAATTTTCGGCAGATTTTCTCTCGGATATAAGTTTAATAGTGCAACGTGCACTTAATAGTGTTTAGCGTGCACCTTCTCCTGCCTCATCTTGGCCGATCCGCGAGTTCAAAGAAAGCGGAGACCTACTTAATCGCCGTCTGCAACATCTGGAGATTCTGGAGTCTTTGATGTCGCGCCGCGTAGCAGAAACAATCCTCGCGAATGCGTGCGCTGAATCTAGAGAGTATTTTGTTCGGCGGGCTCCCGATTTCACGCACACGCCTTCCATTTTATCGACGGATAATCGCCGTTCCAGAAATCTGAACGTGAACTACATCACGTTGATGAAATTAAAATTAAAAACTTAGAAAATAGAAGCAGAATCATATTTGCTGCTACGTAGGCTATGTGAAACTTGAAAAGTAATAAATTTTTCAATATTTATGATATATTTTTGTTTTCAACTTAACTATCTTAAATTTATCATTATTTTTTGAAGAGAGATAACTGAAGAAATGTTTCTTTACGTTATCAAATACCATTTCTAAACGCTAAAGATTTAAATCTATTAATTTAATGTTGAAAAAAAAGATAGAATGTTATTTTATCCAGTATTCCGCGATCGGTCGACCTTTTTAAATATTTTCGGATAGTGAGAAAATATACGAAGCGAGATGAGATCTCAACGCAAATGAATTAAGCTGTCTTTTGAAATGAATAGCTCGTACAAAACCCATTACTCGGTAACTGATGAATCGAATGTTACGCAAACGTTTACCGTGTTTATCGTGTTTCAATCGCGATCCGGCCGCTCCTATCGCTATCAATTGAGATGTCGACTTCTATAAAGGGATTTATTTCGCTAATGGAGAATCATTTCTGCGATCGTCGAAGCTTGCACCATGCTTGAGTTACTGAACCAACGGACAGTAGTTCAGGATTTTACAGACGCTCCTTTGTTCCTGGCAACCTTCGTGGATTGTGCAACATGTGGCTCTAACGATGAAAGATTAACCGTTTCAAAATTTTCCGCAGGAATGACCGCACAGTCATTTGAGTTTAGCAAACCCACGTATCCACGGACCCGAACTCGATATACTCGTAGATATTTGTATACATTTACACAGGTTACACATATTATTGTGAACGATATAGCAAAAACATTTAGGAAAAAATGAAAAGAAGATATATAGTCTAGTTTAAGAAGAATAAGAAATAGAAACTAGGCCCATATAATATTTGATAGATAGGATAGAGTAGCAAAAACTAAAAATTTTTTTACTTACATCTTTTTGTTAAAAAAAAGTTTTGAAATTTCTGATGCATATATCATTGAAAATTAACGTGCAAAGCAATATTCATAAATAATGTAGACAATTTTTTATTTTGACCGCAATTCATACATGCATATATACATTTGTAGCACAATCATATGTACCGCATGTACATGGGGGATATCAGTATTACTTAATTTTTAAAAACTCTTCAAGATGCAGTCATGAAAAATTTGTTACTACGTATTCCAGTTGAATGTTTTTATTATTTTAAATGAAGGTGGAATATGAAATCGTAATAATGGAAAAATTTATTTCTTTTCATTGTCAGTTATTCAAAGCAGCCAGGTGATGGCGGGTTGTTTCAACTTGTGCCTTTTACGAGATGTCAGAATAAGAACTGCGTGAGGACTCGACGATTTACTATAAAAGATCTGCCATACGCTTTGATCTCGGCTCGCAGAAAGCGGATTAGACCGTCAATAAATTTAAGTAATATCAGGTATATATCGCGATGTGTGTGCCGCGCTATCGTTAACGATCCCGAAGGAATCAGGGTCGGCGAAAGGTCAGCCGGGTCTCCGGTTTAAAAATGGGCTCGCGGTTCCTCTGAATCTGGCTTCTAGATATGACTGGTGCCGCCTGCGAAAATCAGGTCTCTAATTTCTAAATCTCGTCAGAATATTTACCGTTCTCCACTTTGAAGGGATTTTTTGGTTTACATTTATAGTGTCTTTAGTCGTATCTATATGTTGAAATGTCCATTCATTTAATAGTTACTTAATACGAGTTTTATGCGTCTGAAATCATGCGTGATCATGCAGATGTATGTACCTGAAAGCATTAATTTCCACGAGTGGAGAATCACTCAATTGCGATTATTCGTTACGACCGTTAAAGCACGCGAATCGTATTCACAGAGCGATAAAGATAACCTTGGCAGGATTTTAGAGGGATACACTTGTTACACGGTACGGAACATGCACGATCGCCCTCGATGATTCTCGGAATCGAGTGTCCGGGCTTTACGAGCGAGACGGGTCAAGGGTCGCCGCCGCATCTCTGATCGCCGCCGAGAGAATTCGTCTGTCCGCGTAAGCGTCCGCGAGTAACGAGATTGTGAAAATTCCGTGATAAAAGCCCCTGGGGTCGTCGACATCGTTATTTATTCTATTTTCAGGCGTGCACTCAAGGATCTCACTCGTAACACGCTCGTGAACCGATAACCGATGGCTTAACTATTGTAAACTAGACCATCTGCGATAGCGGTAGGGAAATTTTTTTCATTTCACTACGCCGGCAAGTAATCGTTCCATTTACACGACGGATAATTGAATTACGCACATTCTTATCTGTCTCATTTTCATGTTGTCATTCTACGAATTATTTGATAATGACGCATAATGACGCAATCTTTTCAGATTCGAGTGTTTATTAACCTTTTGTTCTCCAGTGCTATCTTGAATAATCTCACCAGTTTTCGAGTTCCATTACGTTATATGTATGTGTTTGCATATAATAAGTAAAATACAATTCTTTATAATTAATATTTCTTTACGTCGCAGCTACGCAAAGCTTGTTACAGACATTATCGTACGTTGTCGCTCTTATTGCAGTAAAAACGCAATAAGATTCGACGTGAATCACTGTTTACGCGGACGGGGTGATATTCCGGACTGAAAAAGCTTCATCGCGTGTGTTCTAATAACGTTCTGAAAAGATGGAATTGAGTCTTCGACATATGTATGTTTGGGAGATTTTTACATTAACGATGTTTTCGACACCCTACTTTACGAGGCTACTCGTAAAGCATTGGATATGTATATAAGCTGGTATGTAGGAATTTTCACACGGTCGTATTTTATACATTCCGGTTTATGTATACGCATATACGAGAAAAATATAGCGGCATGAATCATTGGAAATTTATTGGAATTCAAATGAAACTTCCATCAGTTCACCCATTCCTTCTATGTTTCACGCAAATAATACAGGAAAGTGGAGAGAGATATCTGTTAAAAGTGTTTACAGCGTAGAAAAAATCTCAAATTGAGATTTAATTGCAAATAGCTAAATGTGTCAGGAGGATCGCAAGTGTAACTCGTCTTACGTATGTACCACGAAGTACTCGTAAACCCACGCAACTCGCACTTTGTTTTACGGCACTGTCCATTAAGTTATTACATGTTAATTATTCGAATGCTGTGCATACGGCATGATGGTGATCCAGGTAGCACGAAGTGCCTGCCACAATGTTTGCGTGGCCGCGGACTGGAGAGCGGGTTTACCAACATAAGTTGGCGGGTAAACGCTGGCGATAAAAAACCGATCGTACGGAGTGCGCGCTAGTAATTTCCAGCCAGTCCGTACGACGAATGCAGTTACAAATTAGATCGGGCAAGAAATGGCTGGAGGTGTAAAAGCCGAGGTTACCAACGGGGGACGGATGCAGTGAGAGAAGGCGGTTTCGGTCGCCCCTGAAAAATGCAGCTCGCGGCAACGTGCCGAGCATTAAGAAGTATCAGTGCAAATTCGGTGCACCTCCTGTTATTAAATATTGGGTTCGCCCCGTGCGGCTACGTGGGACCACCCAAAATTTCCATGGTGGTCCAACAGGGCTGGTGCGTTCCCTATCGTAATAACTTTCTTTATGGAAATGCGATTTAGAGAGGATTGCTCCGTTTCGTATTTCGGGTTTGCATAATTTATCCTCCGCTATTTAGCTAAGATCGATATGCATCATTTCTGCAAGGAAAATTTGCAAGCGGGAGATAGTTTTAAGCGTAATATATTTATACAAATTTCTATAAATATATTTATATA